AAAAAATCAAACAGGTGGAGTGAAAATATGAGAGTAGAAGCTGGTGATATGACGAGCTAATGGGAGGAAGCTGTGATTTATCAGTAATGTAGCTGGTATGAGGGCACAGCTTGAATGCAGCCTAAAATCCATCTTAATCTTCAGCTACAGTACAATGGGCCCGAGTTTATATAGCAGTGTGAGAAATTGTGCACCGCTGTCGTGATCTGTCTGCAGATGTGGCAGTTGGTCCCAGAGGCTGGAATGGCCAGGGAGCTCTTGCTGTCCTGCAGCAGACTGGGACTGCTGCTGCTGCCAGGCTTGCTGGGGCAGCTGGGTGCCCGTGTCCCTCCCCAGCGCTGGCAGCACTGTGCTCCTGGAGTGTCTGGGGGCCTTGCCTGGTTTGCAGCTGAAAGCACACTTTAATTCATCAAGTGTAAACCTTGGAGGCAGTTGACAACTGGAAAACTGGTTTAAAAAAACTGGAGGCTGATACCAACTAAAAACAAGTTCTTTAACAAATAGAGTCTACTTGGACACCTTAATGTGCATCTATTAAATGGAAAACAAGATTGGAATGCAGGAGTCTTAAGATGTGAGTTTAATGATTTTTCTTTAATAGGTGAGGATTCATAGTGTTCTTTAATGTTAATACTAGCACTATTGTAGCAACTTCAGACCTATCTTAAGTGCATTAAAGCTATTATAAACCTGATCTTGACATATTTCAGATGTACTGTTATCTCCCAATCTAATTGACTAAATGTGTCGGTGCATAGAGTTTTTATATCCATATTGAAGAACCAGAAAAGCCTATAGCCCAACACATTAAATAAGTGCATATCAGTAACACAAAATAAAGCAGTTTGAAGTGCTGTAGAACAAGGTGGTTTCACTTTCATGGAAACCCTAATTATGTTGGTTAATGTTTCAGTGCTTGTGTCTTGCTTTGCAGTTGAAACAAGTGCATTTCCCAGCACCAAGTTAATTCACTCTATGTGACTTATTTCTGATTTTATAAATTCAGAGTCAGGTGTTCATGCTGGGGCCTCACAGGAGGAACTGCTTACCTTTAGAGAGCAGGGGATGATGTGGGGCAGGTGGAGCAACTTGTGGAAGTTGTTCTGCATGGCTTGGCAGGGAACAGCCCATCCAAGGGCTCCTCCTGGAGGTTGGCTTATCTGGGAGAGGTTTGGGAACTCTTGGTGATGCAAGAGTGAATGAAGTCTAGGCATTTCTCTTTCATGATGTAAGTTGTTTGCATAACATTCTCCTCCTTTTTGGCGTGGATGCAGGTGACAGCACCAGGCTGCTCCTTAGGGGTGAAACTTGCTTGAAAATGGAAAACATGGTCTATTATTTATGGCTATTGCAGCAGTGCCTTGTAGGCCTGCTGGATGCAGGGCTTCCTTCTGGAGCTGCTGCACAGCTATGTAGCAGCAAGTCTTTGTTCCAAAACTTTTGGAGCTTGGATCGATGGGGTGGGGGGGCTGAGGAGGAGGTGGTGTGCATGAACTGTGTGATGGATGTGCTCAGGGCAGTTTGATTTGACCAGCTGGGGGATGACTGAGGTGAGCCGTAGTTTTCAAGTCTCCTTCTCTAGCAGACCTGCTCTTGATCAAACAATACTTAGTGACTTAAAGTGTTTTGAAGAAATATTTTTTCTGTTAACAAATTTTAAAATGTTTGCATGAAAGCTTCATGTGGAGTTTAACATATGTGCTACAAAGTAAGTTATCTAGTCAGTGAAAGGCTGGAAGGGGTCAACTAAAATGTGATGCTGTTCTGGCTGGCTTTGATTTATCTGCACAATGCAAACAGCAAGCTGGCCTGCTCTGTTCCTACAGTTGCATGTTGTTTGAGAGATTAATTGATCATTCCTGTTCTGAGTATGTTCTCTGAGACTGTATAAATAGAAACCTTCTACAGTGGGTCATTTTGGTAGGTATTTAATGGGTTAAGGCTTTCTTGATCATTTACACTGGGTTCTCACAAACTGTCACAGGTCTTTTTGGTGGTTTGACTTTTAACATTCACATACATCCAAACCCAGATTTTGAGTCTCTGCTTTGTGAGTCTTAATTATAATTTAATTCACAAAACCTAGTGAATAGAATATTGATGCTGAATTAAACTTTATTTTAGAACTACACTACACTTTCACCTCAAATCTAAATTTCTGTTGGTCTGCAAATGAAGTTTCATTGCCTGGTTCTGTAAGTACCATGGTATTTTCCCTGAGAGGTTTAGGGATTTGCTGCCAAGGCTGATCTCTTGATTGACTTTTTTTTTTTTTTTTTTTTTTTTTTTTTTTTTTTTTTTTTTTTTTTTTTTTTTTTTTTTTTTTGAAATACACTTCAAAGCAAGGTGGTTTTTTTTCTCCCAAAGTTTTGGGAGTAGTGACACCAAGGGGAGAGCTGAGTTCTTAGTATATTGTATTATTATTTTTCTTTGTTTCTTTTGTTTTCTTTGTTTTTGTTCTTGTAATGTCAGGTTGTCTTGAGTAGATTAGCTTTTTATCCTTTCTGATCTTGAAATCCTGTTAATTATTAGGAGAGATAGACTAAATGAGGATCGATTTAAGAAATAAAAGCAAGAATGCCAAGAAGATACTTAACTAAATGTAGAATACCCTCTTTCTACCTACCTGCCAAAAAGGCTCATTACAGTCCTTAAAATGACCATTGCACTGTCATCACTTTATTTCTTGGGACAAATAATTCTTCCTCCATTCCCAGGATAGTTGCTCAAAGGTGCAGGTCTGCAGGGAAGATATATTTGTTTGCAGGGGATGACTGGATTAAAAACATATT